TACTAGATAATTTCTGACACTTGCCATAACAACATGGTCACATGTACAATGGACCAGTCCCACTATGAAAAGGATCACTTACATAATGTCCTACCTGAGGGTAGACTCTGCACTACAGTTAGTACTGTACTTCTTCTTATAACAGTATCTTTTTAATAGTTGTCTTGAAACCTGCTAGTAGTCTAGTTTCAAGCTAGCCAACCATATCATGCTAGTTTCAAGCATGAGATAACACAACACAGTGATCTTGAAATTTCATCTGTGTTCTTCGTTCAGTTTAGAAGTCATTCCTTGACAAAATTTGGTCCAATTTCTTATGTTGCAAATTACAGTTCAAACTTCATGGTGCTTGTTGGGAATTTATACCCCTAGCTAGCCTGGGAGGCAGAGACAGTAGCTGCTGACAAAAAGAAGTTGTTCAAAGCTTGCTGCCTGATGTGCCATCAGACACAGGAGGAACTAAGATCTAAGGTCTAAGGCCTGGATGTCAGATCCATAGCACAATTGCACCCATAAGTTCCCTCAGGCTTGTAATATCCAGTGTGCATACTGGATATGGATAATGGATAATGTGTTATGGGTCTGGCACCCCTAGCCCACCTAACCTGGGAATGGGGTTGGCCTCCAGAGCACGGTGTTTGTTTTGCCAGATTGCCCTTGGGACAATGAGGGAAGCCATCCTGTAAGCATAGGGAGGGTGTGACAAATTGGTTCCCCTCCCACTAGATTAGCAGGCTACTGTCAATTATCTCTATCAACTTTTGCTGGACACCCATAGCTGCTGGTGCAGCAAAGTCTGTACTCTCTGGCAGACCAAATCCCCCTGCTTGATACTCTGTTTGGCCAGTTTCTACTCTTTTTCAGCCACCTCCTGAAGCCTGGTATAGGCTACCCTCTACCCTCTCTACACGGGAGACAGGGAGGGATTGAAAAATATGAAAGAATCAAAGGTTTCTTTTTTATAGTCTCTAACACTTAATATGTCTGTAAAAGTGATTGATTAGCATTCTGAGAATTTTGGACATCTGGAACATGCCATATGTTCATTTGCATTGTACATATATGTACAATGTAGTACCCTGAGTGTCATCCTCCATAGGCAGCTCTCTAGTGACACTGACTTCTGGTAGAGAGCCTGCGGAAATAGCGGTGGATGGCACCCAGGCTAGGGAGTTGAAGTAGTTTGGATCAAGGACATTAATAATTTATATCCTTGTTTGGATCTAATGCTTGGCTTGGGGTGGAACCGAAAAAGAACTAGACAAGTAAGTATTCTGTACTTAACTGATTATTGTTGAATTCAAACTGAAAATAATAGAGCAACCTATTGTACCAAAACAGAAAGAACTTTAAGAAAGAAAATTAAAGTTTGCTAACATTGTAAGTCAGAATAGATCATGACATAATAAACTTTTTGTACTATTGTTCAGTGGAAATGATAACTCCCAATAAAGCTCAAAATTCACATCATGAATTTTCTGACAAAAAGATTCTAGCACAAGCCAGGATGTAGCCTGGGTGCCATTTGTACATAAATTTTCATGATAGTAGACTGTCATAAATTCTCGTAGACTCTCCTTTCTACAAATCCTGGCCAATGGCATGCTTTTATTGTTGAGATGCCTATAATGACATTAAACTGACCCACATGACCTTTTGACACCTAGGCCATACAGATCAATCCGCTTGTACCCACACCCTCAAATGTCTCCACACCCAAAACTTTTGAATAAAACTTTTGCTTTTAAATAAAACTTTTGAGACAAATTTCACCACATTCCAGGAGACAATAGTTTACCATTTGTAACAAAAATCTGCAGAAACAAAAAGGTATCTTCCCAGTTCGCTGCTACACATACATGTACCATTACATGTATGCCATCGAAAACCCTCAAAATTACATGTAAGTTAATGCCCCGAAATAACAACTTTAGCCCACAATTGCACATGAGACATGTGTAAGTACTGTAACTTATCATAAATCAAAATGGACAAACTTCATATCACAGAAATGTCTTGACCAATCTGTTAGTTGTACCTGTCAATTGTGCTCTTGAGGACAAGGGTGTACTTGCTCTGGACATGTCTATATGCACCAGGAAAAACATGCAGGGAGATTTGGAAACACTTTGAATTGAGTTTTCTTCATTAAGATATAGTATAGCCTGCTTTCTTCTCAAAAAACAATTACTACTAGTCCTTGGAAGCATCATATTTGTTCAAAATACATTTGTAGTAGTGCTTATAAACAACTTGTCAATAGCAAAGCAGTGGCATATGATGCAATTTATTACTGGATGATGTAGTGAACCGTAGTTGATCAGATTGTTTAACTTATGGGGGATTTTTTGGGTTTGGAGTCATCCATCATATAAAACCTGAGTACAGTCAAACCTGGCAAGGCAACCACCTCTTCAACTAAACCACCTGGCCATTCGCAACCGCTTTTTCTTGGATCCGAAAATTTTCCCCATTGATGCAAGCATTAAGCGACCTTCCCGGTGAGGCCACCTGGCCAACGCGACTGCCACGAGTTGGGTCTGCCTTGGCCCGATCCCTTCCCATGGTCATAATTCTGTAAAGCCTTCAATCAGTGGAAACATCTATTCTCAAACCGACCAGTTTGTCTTGGGTTTCGACCGCCACGTGATGTTTTCGACTAAGGACGAAGATGGCCGCCACTGGTTCATTTTGGGTCAATGTATATGGGTGGGAATTTCTTGGGTTTGAGCCCATCTGTCATTACTCAAATGATTTACTGTACGTGATTACTACAGAGGGTTTACGATTAAAGTTTCTGTACTACAGTTTGTATCATCCGTGGTGTTGCTGTATGTACTGCACTGTACACCATAGATAGAAATCCACTAAACCGTGAATACATTCGCTTGGGGCTTACAGCCGGCATCCGGTCAGTTGTCTTTCAAAGCGCTTGAAAATGTTGATACTGCTGTGCGTACTTAGAAAATTCCTATGTGATTGAATTTGATGAATCTCAACAGTTAGTAGAAATTCTTCAATCAGTGACTGTATTTTTGTAAGGTAGATTACGTACCTCCAAATTTTCGGTGTCGACTGTACACCTTGATCACGGTANCTCTCTAGCTCTATAGTGACGCTGGCTTCTGGTAGAAGCCTGCAGAAACTGCGGAGGATGGCACCCAGGCTTGGGAGCTGAAGTAGTTTGGCTTGGGGTTGAACCGGAAAAGTATTCTGTACTACACAGATTATTAGATTGCTTGTTGAAGTCAAACCTAAACTATTAGAGCAATCTATTGTACTAAAACAGAAAGAACTTTGCAAAAATTAAAGTTTGCTAACATCATAAGAATAGATCATCGATCACGACATAATAAGATTTTTGTACCATGTTCAGTTGAAATGATGATTCCCAAAGCTCAAAAATTCACAAGACTCACATCATGTATTTTCATGCATTTTCACTATCATGCATGTACATATGACCAGTCTTGTACATAGTTTTTTCATGATAGTAGACCTGTCGTTCCTGGCACGTTCCATGCTTTTATGTCGAGATCCCTAAAATGACATTAAACTGACCAACATGACCTTTTGACACCTGGCCGGACAGATCAATCTGACAGGACCCGCACACTCAAATGTCTCTACACCCAAAACTTTTTTGATAAATTTCACCACATTCCAGGAGACAAAACTTTCCCATTTCTAAGAAGAAAAAGGCATCTTCCCAGTTCGCTGCTACACATACTGGTATGTATGTACATGCCTTTGGCATAATTATGTTGAAAACCCTCAAAATTACATGTAAGTTAAAGGCACTCTATGTAGTTTTTTGCGCAAAAATTTGGAATATTCTAATTATACTAAATTTCAGTGTTATTAACAGTTACTATCACTTTTCAACACATTTGTGTCATTATTTCACATTTCTTACGTATATTTTGTCCGTTCAAACAGTCCTTCTTGGGTACCCGGTGCCACCGGTTTGCTCAGGACAACAACCCCTAGGGTGGCTAATTGACCCGGCTTGCCAGGCTTGATTGACAGGGGCACATGTGACAAGATATAGCCTCCTTAGAAAAACACTCATATCTTTCACATGAGGTCTGGTGGAATATAATTATCAACTTGGAGTATTTTGTTGGGCATGAATAAACACAAAACCTACAAACTGTCCTCCCGGCCCAGCCTATATGTTAGTATGTAGGGTGTAGTGTTGTGAAGTGAAGGGAACACGAGGGACCAGACGTATGGGATGAAGAACTCCTCCGGCTGCTCCTCCTCAGTTTGGCGGCGGGCCTTCGAGGTCTACATGGTTTTCGACAACAATCCTACCTGGATCTGTGCACTTCCTGTTGAGTTCTTCCTGCCAGAGTAGGAGACTCTGTTTCTGTTTGAATTTGGCAAGAGTGTCCTCGGTCAGGGGAGGGAAGAGGGGCTTTGCGACCAGCGGCATGAAGACGCTGAACTGATGCTGGTCTTTGCGCCTCTTGTTTTTTCTGGAGAGTTTCTTCCTTTTCAAGTTTTGGTGATACTCCTTCATGAGTTTGGAGCACTGCAGGTGTTCTTTGGGCTCCCAGGTGTTGTAGGATGGAGGCCAGCCCTGCCACTTGATGAAGTAATAGTCCTGCCCCTGTAAAAGTAAGCAGGGCGATGCCAGGCACTGGTTGTTGGAAACTGGTAAGCTATCAACTGACACCCCACTGGGATGTAGGCCAAACCACTAGCAGTGGACAATACAATGTACCATATGTGCGGTTTGGCCAGAGGTTGTATAGAAGATCATTCACAGTTTTCTAAGCTTCTAAGGAGCAAGGATGTTGTATTTTTTGTTGAGGAGTATGATTTTGGAATACTAAAGGGTTAAGTCAATGTACTATGTAAAGAAAAGAATGAAAAATATACTTTTTGTATTGTCAAAAAACTACATAGAGTGGCTTTAATGTGCCAAAATAACACCTTTAGCCCAGAAGAGCGCAGGAAACAGGTGTAAGTAATCATAAATCAAAATGGTGATTAGACTTCATAGCACAGAAATACCTTGGCCAATCTAGTGTTAGCTGTACCTGTCTATTGTGCTCTTGAGGACCGCTTTTCTCAGTTCTGAAATTTTTTTCCTATTGATGCAAGCATACAGGGACCTTCCCAGGGCAGCCACCTGGCCAGTGCGACTGCCACGGGTTGGCCCAATCCCTTCCCATGGCGACCGGACAACAGGGTCATAATTCTGTAAAGTTTTCTATCAGTGGAAACATCGATTCTCAAACCGACAAGTTTGTCTTGGGTTACAAGTACTGTTGTTTTGAGTAGAAAAGCCAGGTGAAAGAGAAGTACTGTTGTGTTGTGTAGAAAAGCCAGGTGAAAGTGAAGTACTGTTGTTTTTTGTAAAAAAAGCCAGGTGAAAGAGAAGTACTGTTGTTTTGTGTAAGTCAGGTGAAAGACAAGTACTGTTGTTTTGTGTAGAAAAGTCAGGTTAAAGACAAGTACTGTTGTTTTGTGTAAGCCAGGTGAAAGACAAATACTGTTGTTTTGTGTGGAAAAGTCAGGCGAAAGGTTTTCATTTGAATAAATAAAAGTGAATAAAAACATTAACAAAAGGTCTTAGTTCTCTATTATATAGTCTCAGTTCTCTATTAGTAACCATTCTCCCCATGTTAAACAGTTGATCCTCCTGTTTGTATATAAATGATCACAGTAGTAATCATTATCTTCCTCCCCAGGCCGTGTGTCGATTGACCAGAAGGGCAAGGCGTTTGCCCTGTGTGTGGGCGACTCGTCCCGTGCTGACGCCGGGGAGTACACCATCACAGCTGAGAACAACAGCGGCTCTGTCACTGTCACTGTCAAGGTGAGTTCACTTTTCATTCTACTTTTAGTTGTAAGATTTNGGTGAAAGAGAAGTACTGTTGTGTTGTGTAGAAAAGCCAGGTGAAAGTGAAGTACTGTTGTTTTTTGTAAAAAAAGCCAGGTGAAAGAGAAGTACTGTTGTTTTGTGTAAGTCAGGTGAAAGACAAGTACTGTTGTTTTGTGTAGAAAAGTCAGGTTAAAGACAAGTACTGTTGTTTTGTGTAAGCCAGGTGAAAGACAAATACTGTTGTTTTGTGTGGAAAAGTCAGGCGAAAGGTTTTCATTTGAATAAATAAAAGTGAATAAAAACATTAACAAAAGGTCTTAGTTCTCTATTATATAGTCTCAGTTCTCTATTAGTAACCATTCTCCCCATGTTAAACAGTTGATCCTCCTGTTTGTATATAAATGATCACAGTAGTAATCATTATCTTCCTCCCCAGGCCGTGTGTCGATTGACCAGAAGGGCAAGGCGTTTGCCCTGTGTGTGGGCGACTCGTCCCGTGCTGACGCCGGGGAGTACACCATCACAGCTGAGAACAACAGCGGCTCTGTCACTGTCACTGTCAAGGTGAGTTCACTTTTCATTCTACTTTTAGTGAAGATTTCAAGTCTTTGTGTTAGTGTTACTGAAAGCTTGGTATACATAACCAAAAATTGATGTCAAAGTTACCATTCACAGTCAAGGTAACCTTTATAGTCTAGTTTTTTGACATGTCATAACACTGGTCATCTCAATTTAGGAAAGTCACTGGCCATTTGGAATGTCAAGTAAAAATCAACATTTTGCATTCAAGTTTCACATCAGTGCGCAGGTCTTGGTGTAAGGAGTATAGTGATATGAAAATTATTGTTCTGCAGTATTCATAACTTTAGATATCATTTATAGAAAATGCAAGCAGGCCGGCGGGTTTTTGAGCACCCCAACAGGGCTAGCAGCTACCCCGTCAGGACCAAATGACAGGACCGTCGGTGTAAAGTACTTACCCCGTCGGTGTAAAGTACTCACCCCGTCGGGGTGACACTGTCATAATCATTAAGGTCTGGTCAAAGAGGTGCAAAATCCCAAAAGAAAGCCCTTGGAAGGTGTGAATTGATCAATCTATACACACCGGCGGGGCCAGGTTTACCCCGATCAGGGTGAGGTCCGACCCTGTCGGGGTGAGCTCAGACAGTCATCCAATCCAATTGATGTGCAAAATCGACATTATCAGGACAAAGAATAAGCATGGAGAGCACAATCCACACTCTTCTATTTGCCCCTTTCAGCCAAGTATAAGGGTCACAAAAAAGAAAAATTCCAGACAGCTTACAAACACATACTCACTACTCCAAAGTTGATGTCTAATAGATGATCATTACCATGATCAATATTGACTGAAGGAGGCCATATAAAATAATACTTAAATTTATTTCCTTCTATTTGTAACAATTGAGATGTAGAACACACAGGTCTTGCAAATGAACTGATCAAGTTCCTCAATTGCTATTACACTGGCCACAATATTCAGGGATCAAAATTAATGGCTTAGCAGCTGAAAACAGTCAGTCGTTCTTGTGAATATTGCCCACAAATTTTCATATGGTCATAGATCTAATGGTGTCATTTAATGAGCAAAATGTCTTAGCTGGTCAAGAAAGGGAGCAATCTCTGATAATTGTCACAAAAAAGGGAGGTTCTGAGTCTGTTTTTCCTCCTTTCTCTGAGTGGAAGGAGGCCCTTTGTTATAATGTCTGTCATTCAAAATACACACTGCAAGCAAATCAGGACTCACTATTCTTCTCAGATATTTAGGGGCATCATGATAAGAAATATGTTGAAAACTAGGAAGTTGGAACATACATTAATTTTGAACCTTGGTACTACCAGGTGCAGAGTATTTTTGTGAGGATGTCATGAATGGTCTAACCAAGGAGCTTTAAAAAGCTTGGTGTGACAATACTAGTAACTTGCTGAGAAACTTGACATTATGTGTATTTTGTCCCATTGTTCTGCCTTGGTAGACAAGTTAATTGGCTGGATTGTTTACTTATTGAGACTTTTTACAGCAAAAGGAGCTTTCATCAACTTTAATGAAAGCTCCTTGCAGCCACTTTGTAGGTAGACACACAAGCGGCCATTGGTGCCCTACAAAATAGTCTACTGAGTACATCCTACAATCATATTTCATGGCCTGCATGTTGGAGAAATACTTTAATGAATGATGTGTTTTTGTTTACTGTAACTACTACGGTCAAAATATACTTCTGTAAATGGGGAGAAACAACACTTTGGGTGGGTGGGGGCATTTTGTAGCATGGTCTGTTCCATCAAGGTCCTTGGTTCCATTTGCTGTAGGTACATGTAGGATCTCCAAGCAGATCCTACACTGTGACAAGGCTGTAACTATAATTGACCAAAGAAGAGACCATCGGCCACCCAATAATGGTCACCCCGTTGGGCTTGAATGTTTACAGCCTTGTCACAGTAGGATCTGCTTGGAGATTATAGGTTGGTGGGCGTGATGTTTGAAAAAAAAAGTGATTTTGCCCTTCTCCGATAACTTTCTTTTCTACAGACCCTGGAGTATTTTCTACATTACAACCACAGCAATGATTATACAAATGTACTAGACTAAATATTTTCTATGCAAGAGGGTATAAATTGAAATTTAGGAGGGAGGACACCATTACTGTCCTTTCAAAGAGTTTGCCTCAGGTGTGCAGTTCCAACTTCACGTTGAGGTGCCAATTACCCCCAATTTACATAATGTGCACTGGCTTGGGTTGGCTTGAGACCTTTGTTTTTGTTCAGAGAACTGTGGTGACTGGAAATGAAGAACTAGCTCCAAGCAGATCCTAAGGTGGCAAAAAGAAATATGAAAAATTGGCCAGGCAGTATCCATCGGCCAGAGAGGGTCCAATTTTCCTTGGGTTAGAGATAAGAAAGAAAGGACAGTATCCTGACCAAGAAGATCGATCAATCAATCAATCAATAAACAATTATTATAAGAAGGTTTATTGCAAGTCAGATATCCAGCTGTTATTACTATAATTACCTTCGCCAAGAAGGTTATGTTTTCAGGGGCGTTCGTGTATGTGTGTGTGTGTGTGTGTGTCTGTCTGTCTGTCTGTCTGTCTGTAAACACGATAACTTGAGAAGGCCTTGATGGATTGTCTTGATACTTGGTAGGTGGGTAGGTCTTGATGAGACCTCAGAATGATTAGATTTTGGGCCCCCTAGCGGCTTGTTATGGTACTGCAGCTGAACTTCCGGTTTTGATATCTCATGATCTAGACATGCTATGGTGATGAAATTTGGATGGTAGGTAGCTCTTGTGCTGGGGAAGAAGTGACGTGAGTTTGGGCCCCCTAGCGGCTTGCTCTAGAACTGCAGGGATATATTCTTGAAAATATTCAAAAGTGGATAACTCAAGAACCGATTGACGGATCGTCATGATTTTTGGTATGTAGGTAGCTTACGCGATGTTTAATATAATTATGTGATAATTATGCAAATATGGATGTAATTTGCATAATTTATGGGGAAATTCTATAAATCAGCTGCATTCCATGATAGGACAATTGAAGCTTGTGACATTGGTAATTGACAATGAGAGAAACACAGGAAGATATTGATTATGTTAATAATGACTTAATTTGCATAATTAATGAGAAAATTTTATAATTATGTAATGATAACTGCCTGGAATTTCATTCTTGTGGTATTTGAAAGTTTAGTTGACGTGAACATCATTAAACATAATTTATTCAAATCAGGACCTCATTTGCATAATTTATTAGGAAATGCTAGAATGCATTGTTTGTTAATATAAGACTGTCTTTTGGTTGAGATTATGATAAAATGATATAATTCATGAAAATTAGGTTCCTATTTCTTAAATCAGGGGGGAATAATCTAATCTATAATTTGTCAGTCATAAAGTTTAACATCATTTGGCGAAGGTATGAGATCGGGGAACTCTAGTATTAGATATATAATATTGTGCCCGGTCAGTTTCAACCTGTCGACTCACCCAGAAAACTACAACTTTGAGTGGGTTGATTTTGATTTTAGCAAATTTTGAGGGAAGAAGCAGGAATTTCAGTGGCAAAGCAATCAGAATCCCATAGACTTTTGAGACAGTAGGGACAGAGGGTTCAAAAAGTGGGGGGAAAATGTTAGCTTATTTAAGTCAATATATTTGCCCACTACATGCTCAACAGTTGTGTTGGGTAGATAGACCTCTCTGATGTGCCTGGTAAATGCAGCTACTTGTACATACCAGGATGCGTTATTAAGAAGTATCCAATGCATGAAATTTATACACAACTAGTACTGGTTTCCAAAATGCTCATGCTAATAATTCAGTCATCAAAATCTTTAAAAAGTGGCTAGAATATTCCTTTAGTTAGTATCTAGCCAACATGGTTAAAGTTTACCTATTCGCACTATTCACATGACATTAATCAAAATGCCAAACAAATGGAAAAACCTGGAATTTGTTCATATTCAGACTCTTTGTCCGTCCATGTTGGGGCAATTCTTGGTGGGCCATGTTTTTGACTGTGAAGTTGAAATATGAAATATTGGAAAAGTTGTTCCAGATTATTTCCAGTTTTGGCAACAAAATACTAGACTAAGTATAAATATGAGCCTAAAGACGTTAAAGTAGATAAGCAAGAAGCCTAATATTCACAACTTGAGCCTGCTTTCAAAGCAAGGAATTATACAATCCTCTATTTCTGTCCAACAGTACCCATTCGGTAATTATTCAGCTCCAGGTACAATTGTTATGCGGGATAAAACTAGGTCAGCTATTGTTCTTGACATGCAAATGTCACTGTCCAATTACTCTCATGTCCCTAATAAACATACCCCCCCGGAATAAACATACCCCCCGGACAAATCTTCAAAGTCCAATAAACATACCCTCCGGAATAAACGTACCCCCCGGAAAATGACCAAATTGACAGGTGAACTGTGTGTCCATGATACTAAAATGTGCTCTTTATTTCAAT